CAGTGCCGTGCTCTGGCATGTGATTCTCATGTGGGTTGAGCGCTTTGGTGTGGGGACTGAGCACACGTCCGCGTTTATGGCTGATGACAATCATTCATCGCAGAGGTGGCAGTCACAAACGCCGACTGCCCGACAGACGCCCCTCCTGGGCCAGCTGCTCTGGCAGAGGCTCCTGTGCAACTGCAGCAGAGCCACCATGTCACCACTCGTGTGCCATCGATCTGGGTTTAACCCCAACAGCCCCACAGGCTCGAGCTCTCAGTCGGTGCAGCCCCACAGGTACACTCCTACTGCATCCCAACAAGGCACAGCTCTTCCTGGAGCAATGAGCCATCAGCACTGAGCTCTGCCGCTGGGTCGCCCTGTCAGGACAGTCCTGCACTGGGGCAGTCTGCAAACAGAGAGGGGTCTGTGAGCCCCCATGGCTGAGCCCAGGGCCCCTGCAGGGCTGTGCTTTGATGGGGGGGATCTGAGTGGCCACAGAGTGGCCACAGAGCAGCTCAGCTGGACGGGACCAGAGGTGCTCACCTGTGTGATACCTGGGCACAGGAGGTGCCAGGTTCACAGAGCAGCTCACCCTGGAGCAGATCCACATCCCCACATCTCCGCTTTGTGCAAAACACTCTGTGCTTTGTCCCACACGGCCACTCACGACAGTGTAAATACGAAAAGAACCTGCGAGACCTGGCCTCTACAAAGGAAGCTGTGGCACAGCAATCCCACGAGGGGACAGGGAAACCCGGGAGAGTCCAGTGAGACAGGTTATTCATTCGTTTTATGTTCTGCAGCAAATCAGAAGAGAAGCCAAAACAAATTCCCAGCGGCCTCATTTCCATGCTTCCTCCTTTGGGAAAGCGGCTCTGCTGGAAAAGGAAAGCTCTGTGCTGATGGCCAGAGTGCTCAGGGTGATGTGCGAACATGGCTCTTGCCCTGAGTGCGGGCCCCGTGGTGACCCCGCAGCAGCAGCGAGCATCCATCGGCACCGCGGCAGGGCAGGAAACCTCGGCGGAGCCGCCCTTCCTTCCTGCACAGCCCGGCCAAGTCCCACAGCCCCGGGGCGGGCGGCTCGGCACCGCCAACGCTCAGCCAAGCACTCTGCAACTAAATTTAGAGCTTCTCCTCTCACATAAGCACTTCTCAGAATCTCTGAAAAGCTGCCGCTGTTGTAAGTCAAAGCATGAGGAACGCATGGTAGGAAAACCACCAAGATTTCTTCTTTCATAACATTTCTCTGATCCCGGACTTTACCTTGACCCAAAGTAACTGAGTGAAGCCCAGGCTGACACGGTCCCTGTTTGGACCCCTGGAAGCCACTGTTGAGTTCAGCATGTGCAAAGGACTCCCGGCCTCTGAAACCACAAAGCTGTGTCCGAGTGTTACAACATGCTGAATGCCTGCAATGGTGAGGCTGACACAGCAAACGAGAGATCTTGGGACAACATCTGGTCCCCCTGACGCAGGAGGAGTTTCCCTGAAGAGAAACCAGATGTACACATTTAACTTGTACTCTCTTAGCTATTTTTTCTGTTACAAAGATGAACAAAAAGGCAGCACAAGCCCCTGCACACCACCTCTAGCAAGCAAACTTCCACACAGTTAGCTGTGACCAAGGGTTTTTCTTCATGATGAATGTTGCATTTCTTGGAACTACAGAAAGCCACCCATCCCTGGGAGCTGCTACTCTACGTGCTGGGTGAGGGATTGTGTTTGGGAATTTCCTATGGCAAGACCCAGCTCAGACAGGACTGACCTGCCAGGGGCCACCTTCCTCCAGACCCGCTGTGCAGAGCAGCCTTGCACTGAGTGGCTGCAAAGTGTTTGTTCTTCCCACCAGCAATAAAATCCCACCTAGACCAAGCCCTGGAAGACCCCTCGGGCTGAGCTGCCTGGCCTCACACACAGCTCCAGGCTCGAATGGAGCTGTTCAGTCCAGCCTGTGGGGCTGTTGGCAGCACAGAGAACGCCAGGTCCTGATGCATGGCAGACTGGCAACGTCCTCATTCCCCTCTTTATGATTTCTCTTTGCTTTCCCGTGGTATCATTTAGGATCTATTTTTATTCAGATCCTCAGTGAGACCAACTGAGGTTTGTAAAGCCCAATTGGAAACTCTAGCTCAGCCAGGAGCATTACAGGCAAAAGTAAACAAGCTATGAGGGTATATTTTTCTTGGCTATTTACCCTACTGCTGTTAGGGCTTACAGGCAGACTGAAGAGTCACATCTTTTTCCTATTCCAGCTCTTTCCAGGCTGATTTGCTACATAATCCAAGAAGCAAGTCTCAGAGTTACCATAGTGAGGTGTACTCTGAACTCCCAGCACCTGACTGACACAAAGGCACCACCAGCCAGAACTGCAGCCATGGCACTCATGGTTGGTTGTTGGTTTTGTGAGTGACTAAAAACTGCTGGGCACACTTCTTAATCACAGAATCTCGGGATGGTTTGGGTTGGAAGGGACCTTAAAGCCCATCAGGACACATTGTGCTGTCCCAGGGGCTCCAAGCCTGGTCCAGCCTGGCCTTGGACACTTCCAGGGATCCTCAGTGAGGGCTGCCTCATCTGTTGAATTTCTATTCTCTAGACCAACCCTCCCTCTCCTCCTCCTGTACCTTCCTGCTGTTTTCCTGCAGCCACAGCCTGTTCCTGCTGGCAGCCCCCTCCTGTCTCCACAAGCCACAGTCACAGCCCGGGCTGAACACAGCCTTGGGAAGCACAGAGCATCCAGGGTCAGCTGCAACTAAAACACTCAGAGTTCGTGTGCAGGCCAGCTGTATGTTTATCCACTGCAAGTGTCAATCAGCCTTTCTTCACCTTTTCATTAAGCAAATCAACCCCTTCTCCAATATTCCTGGGAATCATTCATGTTTTAGCTGTTAATAGTATGGCATTGAAAAAATTATTGATCAGTAATAGAATTACCTGAGATCCTATGCAACCAATTGAGAGAAGCTATAAAAATTCCCCAGCCCCACCCCACAGGGTACTGAGAAAGTACTTCAGGGTACTGAGAAAGACCCCACTGGGGTCTGGTCAGATGTAGGAAAGACCAAACCACTCCCACGTTGAGGTCTTGACAAAAGCCCCATCACAGACAGGCAGCAGCGACAGCACAGCTGTTCAGGGAAGCTCCACAAAAATATTGTTAAGGAGAAAGCCTGAGTTTGAGTTAAACAGAAATAGGGGCAGCTTAGAATAAAGATCAGCTTTGCTATAATAAAGAAGAAAGGCACTGCTTTCACCAAGCTTCTCTCCCGCCCCTTATTTGCATTTTCTGATGCCAGCTCCCTGCTACAGCATGGGAACGGTCGGACCAAGTGATGGATCTGCAGGTTTCTATGGTGATCAGCACAGAAATTGCCTGCCCAGCCGTGTGTGAAGGGAAGCATCCATGTCAGAAACTGCAGATTGTATGGTGAGAGAAAACCCTGCTCTGGACTGGGGTGTTGGGGTTGTGCTCATAAGAAATACTAGCAATCACCAGTGAGTAATTACATAATTTAAAAATACTGATACATGCAAAGTACATAATATTTCTAAATATCTGAAATATCAATTTCCTCTCATCCTGTCCTTGTTCTCTGGGAGCAGAGCCTGACCCCCACCTGGCTGCACCCTCCTGTCAAGGAGTTGTGGAGGGTGAGAAGGTCCCCCCGAGCCTCCTTTTCCCCAGGCTGAGCCCCCTGCCAAAGGCACATCTGCCAAGAAAAGAAAAGGATTCAATTCCTGTGCTTGGTAACTGCTGATTGTATAACCCGTGTAGAAAGTTCTGAGTTCATGTTCACTGTCCTCATCAGCTATAGCACAAATCCTTGTCTCTGTAATAAAGTGTTAGTTCCTTACAAACCTGTAAATCAGAAAGTGAGGGAGAGAGGCTTGGTGAAGAAACAACCTCAAATCCCAACTGCCACACACTTAAGGCAGAAGCACTGATTCCATCTATTTAGGCTATTCCCAGAAGGGAAGTCTGGATAATAAAAATGAGCCCTGGCAACAGGACAAACCTCGTTAATCGATCCAGACTAAGCCGCTGGCTGGCACTTTCCAGCTGAGAAACATCAAGTACCTTCCTCTTGAAAACCTTCCCCCGTGGCTGCCGGGGAAGGTGGTGGGCTAACAACGCGAGTTAATGCACCTACTCCCTTTGGAATCAAACCTGGAACTTGCCAATTCAAGTGCAACTGGGAGTAGACATTGATCTAAGTTTAGAAAGAAAAAAAAAACAAAAAATTTTAAAAAGACATGTTTACTCTCAGTTTTTACCCAAACGGGCTCAGAAGAGCCAGCCAGTTTGGTGAAACATAAATGGAGAAACATAAATGCCAACTCCTAAACATATTAGGGAACGAGCGCGGCTGAAAAAAAGGACAGGATCCACACAATGAATTTCTTTTCCGAAGTCAATGACTGCGGCTCTCCAGGCTGAGCGCAGCAGCTGCCAACCTCCCGAGAGCAGCTGCTCCGCCAGCCCCCGGAGGCTGTGCCCGGCTCTGGGGCCCGCCTGGCCCGGCTGCCCAGGTCACTCGGAGCG